CCAATGCCGTGCGGTGGCGCCGTGCGGCGGCGCCCAACGCGCCCAACGCCCAGTGCGAGCGGTTGCTAAGGATATATATCTATATATATGTGTATATATGTATATTATATAGATATCTACAAATATATATATATATATATATATATATATTACATATACATTACATATATATATATATATATATATGTATGGCCTCGTCGCGCCGCCCCCTCGTGGGCGCCGCCGGGTGGCCGCTCTCCAGGCCGGGGCGGCGGGCGCGCGGGGAAGCTCGGCGGGCAGCACCGACGGGGTTTCCAGGCCGCTGCTAGGCCGCTGCTCTGACGGGGGTGGTGCAGGCTGTGCCGCGTCCACCTGCACGGTGAGTCGCGCGGACCGCGACTGTGCCCTCGCCCATCGCCCCCATCGCCACCTCCCCTCATCAGCTCCCCCCCCCTCGCCCCCATGCCCCACCGCCACGTCGCCGCCGCCGCCGAAGTCGCCGCGGTCGTCGTCTTCGTCGTCGCCCTCGTCCTCGTCCTCTTTGACGTCGACGTCGACGTCGCCGAACTCGCCTGGGGGACACAAAAAGGCACCGATACTCCCCAGACCTCTCCGAGGGTGCATTCTGACCAGAATTTCCAAGCGAATCCAGCCGTGGCGACGAGGGAATGGTAGCGGTATCGGCATCTTCTCCTCTTATGATCCTCGTCATCGAAGTCGTCATCCCCGCCGCCGCCCCCGCTGTTAGAGGCCGCCTAGATGGGGTCCGAGTAGATGGGGTCGGAGGATCGCGACGCATCGCCGATGCATCGGCGACGCCTTTGCGAGGCACCGGCGATGTATCGTCGACGTGAGCGATGCATCGGCAACGTCGACACAAAGCAAATCGGGCTCCATATCCAGCCGCATCGAAGGATGCATCGGCGATGCGGCGCGACCCTCCGACCCCGTCCACTCCGACTCCAATCTAGGAGGCCTAGAGCCAGGTTGGACGGAAAATTCAAAATACCCAAAAAATAAAATAAACAAAAAAAAACAAAAAAAAAAAAAAAATGCTCAAACATCGTTGAAACATCGTCCCCAGACTATTTTCTGACTATTCTTGAATTCTCCTCCTGTAGAGGGACACGCCCCACTTAGATCTGGGAGGCCCAGTCGCCCTCCTCATCTTCCTCGCCCTCGTCGTCGGAGCGGCGGACGCAGGCCGGAGGCGCCGGGCGCTGGAGGGGCTCGGGGTGACCGTCAGGAACAGCTCCCGGGCGAAGGGGGGATCGAGGAGCAGCACCCGGTGGAGCACCTGGGGCGCCGGGCAGTGGCGAGAGAGGCCGGGAGGCGGAGGCGGAGGAGGAGGAGGGGGAGGAGGAGGGGGAGGAGGCGGAGGAGGAGGAGGGGGAGGGGGAGGAGGACAAGCCAGGTGCGCTCGCGTCATTTCTGACATCCTACCCCTCCCTCCCATCCCTTACCATGGCGTAGATCCCCTCTCTACTCGCACAGTCGGATGTTGAGCAGGGCAATGATCCCGAAAGGGTACGCGATGCATTGTAGAACACGGCATGGCATGGCGTAGAGAGCGTAGTATGTTACAGCATGGCGTGGCGTGGCGTAGTGAAGAATTGCATCACAAAGCTTTGCAACGCAAAGCATGGCATCGCACAGCGGCCCCGAACATAACATTGCATAGCATGGCGTTGAAGATCAAAGCGTAGCATGGCATGGCATGACGTGGCACTTACGCACTGGATATGACAGCTGAAGCTGAAGGCATGGCATCGCGCAGCGGAACGCAACCTAGCATTGCATTGCATGCCGTGGCATGGCACGGGAAATGACGCCAGCGCTGCAGCGGGAGCACGAGTCGGAACGAGCGGAAGCGCGGAAATGAGGCCAGCGCTGCAGCGGGAGCACGATTCGGAACGAGCGGAAGCACGGAAATGAGGCCAGCGCTGCAGCGGGAGCACGATTCGGAACGAGCGGAAGCGCGGAAATGAGGCCCGCGCCTCAGCGACAGCATCATTTTGAAAAAAAAAAAAAAAAAAAAAAAAAAAAAAAAAAAAAAAAAAAGGATGGAGGAGAGTATATTCATATTGTGTAATTGTGGAGGAGAGGGAGGAGGAGGAGGAGGAGAGGAGGAGGGAGGAGGGGGAGGGGGAGGGGAGGGGGAGGAGGGAGAGGAGGGCGGGGCTCGAGGCATGCGCGCGGAAGTGGGCGGCACCAGGGGGCGTCTTGAAGTAAGAGGCGAGGGGCAAGATATCTTGGAGAACATCGGACAGCATGGCCCCAGCCAGGAGATCTCCCCGTCGGTCGTCCCGTCTGGCCCCGGGATAGCCTGGGCCGGACAAGACGCAAGAGGGGGTCCCGAAACGCTGCGGTGACAGGCCGCGCAGTGACCTCGACATGCCGAAAGGCCTCACAGCACAGCCTCGGCGCAAGGTTCCGGGGACATCGGAGGCCCCAGTCGCCCGAGGCGCCCTCGGAGAGCGGCCCGAGTCCCAAAGCAGCGCGGCAGCCCCGAATCTCGGCT